TTTTTATTTAATACAGTCTTGAAACTATTATCTACAGAAAAACAATAATGTGCAACCCACAGCTTGTTCTCTTCACTGGCACTGAAGTCTTATTAGCATATCAGATATTGTTCATCAGTGCAGTATTTTAAAGTTCTTTGTTCTCCAGCATTTGCAGTACGTATTTGTGGATCAAATGCCTAAGGAACAGCCTTTTTTTCATCTGAAAGCATTTTACTCCAATTATATTAAAGAATAGTATTCACTTACAATACCTTTTTTTTCTGGCTCCTGCTCTGAACTTGTCATAGTGACCATTGCTGACTAGAAAGAGAGAAGAATTGTGATTGTTGCCCATAGTATTAATATATCACATTTGAATGAAAATAATTGAATTGAAGTATTTGTCTGTGTCAAATTTATTGTAGTATGGCAATAAATTTGATCTTGTTAGCCAGAGGATAGGGGTTAGTAGGACTGTTTTATAATCGATAAGTGGATTGTAAAGGTAATTGTTCCTTTATTTGTGAAACTTTCATTATAAATGTTCATACTTAAAATGTTTGTTTCTTTCCTTCCCTTTGTGTTTTTTCTTTTGTAATATTTTTCTGTGAGATTAGTGTTTGTTTGTAATCATAGGCTACAGGTATAAGAGGCAAGGGGGGGGAGGCAATATCTCCCCTGGGTCTTAGTGCTCAACTGCTTTCCTCCTTATTCTGACCGTTCCTGAAGGCTCCCATAACAGGCTGTTGCAGGGTGATTCGTCCCCCAAAGTGCATCTGTTAACTTAAAAATGAAAAGCCTTCCAGCTTGCCAGACCTGTTAGCATGCATTGAACCTGTGAAAGAGCCATAAAGTGGTAATGAAACCATTTAATAGGCATGTGCCAACCCTGATTTTACTGTCAAAACTGTTGTGCATAACTATGTCTGCAAGACCCTAGTTTAAAATTTGCTTTAATTGTTTCATTGGTTTGTGTCTGAAGATTATAAAATGACATCTCTAAAAATCCATGCATAGGTATTGCACAGCTTGAGCCTTAAATGCTTGGATCTTCAGATATACATAATTTTTTCAAAAAGACCACCCTTATCAAAAATACACATTTTAATTTTAATTATAGTGCAAAAGCTTGTGTCCAAAGTCTTCCTGTCCTTTATAGAATACCAAATGACAAGAGTAGCTATCACAGGCAGTGGCTAAATATACTGCTTGGGGAGGCAAGCTCCACAGCCTCTGGCCCCACCCATATTCCACCCCTGCTCCGTCCAGGCCCTGCCTCCTTACCCCCTCTCCACTGTCTCCCTCTTCTTTCTGTTCACCAAGGTTTCCTCGAAGTTGTGCGGCAACCCAGCCCTGCAGCTGCTGGCCCAGCCAGAGGCTCAGGCTCCATGCAAGAAGCTACCTGACCAGGCGGGGCTGAATAAGAAGCTGCAGAGCTGTGCTGCAGCAGAGCTTAGAGGGAACCTTGCTGCTCACCCCTTCTAGCCAAATCCCTGAACCCAACAGTAGAAAATGACATTTGGAAAAAAAATCCCACTCTTCTAAAGAAAATGGAGTGTGTTTTCAATTGCATGCCAGATTGTGAAGACTGGATATGCAGAAGATAATTAAAGGCACTAAATTTAGGAATAAAAAAAAGTCAGCCACAGATTTTTTTTTATATACTCTGAAGTTTGTCAGAGATTTATTTGTAAAAACTCTGTAGGAAAGGCAAATTTATTGTCCTGATGAATGCAACATTAAATATTATGGAACACATGATGCAGCCCTTCTGTTTTACATTTTCTTCATCAGTATTTCTAAGTTAATTTTTTTTAAAAATATACTTGTAAGCAGAGCTCGCCGAGCCGCAACAAGCCTCGCTCGCCAGCTGCGCAGATTGTTCTGTGCATGCGCAGATTGCCCGAACCCAGCTTGTCCGGGATGTAATCTACTCGCCATGGTGTGTAGATTACATAGATTGTCGAATCCTGCTTGTAAGCCTTCATTCCAGATCACTACATATTTAAACTCACTGAAACATAGACATTAGTTAAGAATGTTGTCTCTTTAAGGGCTCTCTTCAACAGAAAGGTGAAAGGAGAGTACAGGCAGTCCCCGGGTTACGTACAAGATAGGGACTGTAGGTTTGTTCTTAAGTTGAATCTGTATGTAAGTCGGAACTGGCATCCAGATTCAGCTGCTGAATCTGGACACCAGTTCTGACTTACATACAGATTCAACTTAAGAACAAACCTACAGTCCCTATCTTGTACGTAACCCGGGGACTGCCTGTACTCTCCTTTCACCTTTCTGTTGAAGAGAGCCCTTAAAGAGACAACATTCTTAACTAATGTCTATGTTTCAGTGAGTTTAAATATGTAGTGATCTGGAATGAAGGCTTACAAGCAGGATTCGACAATCTATGTAATCTACACACCATGGCGAGTAGATTACATCCCGGACAAGCTGGGTTCGGGCAATCTGCGCATGCACAGAACAATCTGCGCAGCTGGCGAGCGAGGCTTGTTGCGGCTCGGCGAGCTCTGCTTACAAGTATATTTTTAAAAAAAATTAACTTAGAAATACTGATGAAGAAAATGTAAAACAGAAGGGCTGCATCATGTGTTCCATAATATTTAATGTTGCATTCATCAGGACAATAAATTTGCCTTTCCTACAGAGTTTTTACAAATAAATCTCTGACAAACTTCAGAGTATATAAAAAAAAATCTGTGGCTGACTTTTTTTTATTCCTAAATTTAGTGCCTTTAATTATCTTCTGCATATCCAGTCTTCACAATCTGGCATGCAATTGAAAACACACTCCATTTTCTTTAGAAGAGTGGGATTTTTTTTCCAAATGTCATTTTCTACTGTTGGGTTCAGGGATTTGGCTAGAAGGGGTGAGCAGCAAGGTTCCCTCTAAGCTCTGCTGCAGCACAGCTCTGCAGCTTCTTATTCAGCCCCGCCTGGTCAGGTAGCTTCTTGCATGGAGCCTGAGCCTCTGGCTGGGCCAGCAGCTGCAGGGCTGGGTTGCCGCACAACTTCGAGGAAACCTTGGTGAACAGAAAGAAGAGGGAGACAGTGGAGAGGGGGTAAGGAGGCAGGGCCTGGACGGAGCAGGGGTGGAATATGGGTGGGGCCAGAGGCTGTGGAGCTTGCCTCCCCAAGCAGTATATTTAGCCACTGCCTGTGATAATACCATAATCAGTACTGTAATCAGAGAGCATTTTGTCTTAAAATTGCAAATCAGGAGCAAATCAGAAGCGTGTGTACTAAAGTCTGGTGAACTGAATCTCCTTCTGTTTCTTGCTGTTTTTATTGGACTTATTTCCACTTGTCTCTTTGTCTGTATCTCGTTCATGCTTAATCTTTTGCATTTCTCTGTTACCATATTATTTTGCTGTTTTCTAATATGTTTCATGTCATTACACTTGCTGTTTTGGGGGTAGGGGATTCTAATTTTCTAGTTTATTCTTTTGATCCTAGAGCTCAGTGATTTTATGCCACCTCTGCAGAAACATGGACCTCAGTAGTACGCGCTCAACTCACCCGAAACATTAAAACTTTTTCTGTTGCTCCCATTCCAGTATATAAGAACTGTTGAGAATGAGAGTGCATGCTTAAATCACTGTTTGGAATTAACCAGTGCTGTATGACTTCCTCATTTGAATATTACTATTGATGGCAGCATTACTATTCATCTGAGAAGTTAAAGCAGCCTACAGTTTAACAAATGCATTGAGAAATGAATCGTTGAATCTAAGCTAGCTTTGACTCTGAGAGGCCCTAGCCTAGCACATTAAGGCTCTGGCCCTACAATAACATTTATTGATTAATAATATAACACTATAATATGGTGCAAAACCAGGTAGACCAATCTCTCTCTCCCTCCCTCCCGCACTTTTAGTGATAGAATGACAGGCCAGTTGTTTGAGTTGAGTCTTTTCAGTTGCTTTAGCAAGGAAAAGTAAATTAAAACACTGGAAAATTTTGAAGATCCTAATTTTGGATTTAGGTGCCTAAATCCCTTTGTGGATATAGCTTACTGTGTCTATAGTCAACAGATATGAATGATTCCAAAATATTTTTTATAATTCCCATGGAAATTTGACTTCATGGGAAAAAATCCAAGGTATGATATTCTGGAAGTGAATAGTTCAGCAATGCAGCCATTTTCTTCCTTCCACATATGTCTCCATACTTGCTATTGACCCATGCAGGTTACACCTTCCCACTCTGCCTGTACTGTATCCCCCTTTGTTGTGTACTAAAGTAATAGTAAATTGATGGATGCACACAGGACAATTAATATACTGGTCTCTTCCTTAGACCTAATTGTTTCAAAATTAAGTATTTAAGGTTCCTTATAATATGCCAGAGCTCCCTAAGTTTTCTGCTAGTGCACCGTGGTGAGTAAATAATAACATATTTTTATGAATATAAGAAAAAGCTGCAAAGGTGGGACCTTGCAAAGCATTCAGTTTTGGCCTAACTTTTCCCCTTGAATCATGGCAAAGACTCACTCCTTCAGAGCAGAGGCCAGGTCTGAGCGCTCTTTAATAATCCACCCAAAATGTTTATACACTTAAAAATAACACCTCTCAAAGAAACAAAACCTGAAAAGCATTCCTTTCCTCAGCAAGCTAACAGGGGAAAAAAGGAATTTGGAACCTCTATACCAAAGATAACATTTGCAAAAGCACCACAAGTTTCTTTTTCCAAAATGATCTAAGCACTTAAATTTTAGCTCCTAACCACTCAGGCACTTTTGACAATATTATCCAAGTCATATAGCTCTATAACTTTAAAATGGTCTCAACTGTAATGCATTTTCTTTAAAATACTCATGTACTTGGGAATGACATGGAAAGCAAAATTTAGAAAAATATTTGATTTTTGGAGATGGGATCTTACAAATCTGGTTTGTACTAGAGATCTAGCCACCATCATAACCATGGAGCATCTCTCATTCCGTAGGAATGTTTTTATCCGAATAATTCAGCACTTTACAGTAGAGTGTTTTTAATTTGCAGATGGTAGAGGAAAGTGAAGAAAGGTTAACAGAAGAGCAAATTGAGTCACTTCTTCAGACAGTCTCCAGCATTCTTCCAGGGAACCCAGAGGAAGAGCTTCAGAGACCGTCGGCAATGGGAGCTGAAGAAGAAGGTGACCCAGAATAGACGGCATCTGACCCAAAGTTGGCAACATCATCAAAAACTTAGTGGGAAAAGAACCAGCTAAACTTTTTGATTACAAAGACCATGTCTGGAGGTTTCATAAGAGTAACTGTTGTTTACAAGAAACATAAATCAAAGGAGATCTTTCATGTCAGCCTTTTGTGAGCTATGAGAAAGATAGTAACGGGCTTCATAACACAGCGGTTTGAAAAATAGGGAAAACAAACCTTAAGCTTTAATATTCTATTTTTCAATTACCCATAATAAGGGAAAACAAACCTTAAGCTTTAATATTCTTATTTTCAATTACCCATGTAACAGTTCTCTTCTGAGCAGGATTATAGGCAACTGGCAATGTTTTAATTATCATAGCAATATACTATAATTATAACTGCTTTCATATGTTTTTGAATTACTCAGATGTTTACAATGCAGTGCCTAATTCTGTGCAGAAAAAGCCATTTTATGGTATCAATACATAATTAGAATGAAGTTCAGAAGTTATTAAATAACCATATAAAATCAGCTGTAATAGATCCTTGCAGCTTATACCATGAGAGTGGAAAGAATGTAAAGGTTATGCTGATATGGTAACTGGTATCAACGACACCTTGGATATGACCCTATGTTTCTTTTAAATATAGAGCCAAATCCCTTGCTGATGTAAAAGGACAGAATCCCAAAGTCAGTAGAGCTGTTCTTATTCACACCAGCTGAGGATTTGGCCCATAATGTTGGGGTTCTTAGTAATGCAGACAACAGGCATTTAGAAGGTTAAGCCTGCTTTTTTTCCTTTGACTCACCTGTTGTCTAGGCAGAGTAGTGTGCAGTCCACATGAGCTATGATACTGTGGCACAACTGGGTGATTTAACAATGACATGGCAACTTTAACTATGAATTTCCCTGTTTTGTTTTCAGAAGTTTAACAAGGCTCAGTCCTTGCCCAAGCAAAACTTCCACTGGAGTCAGGAGTTTTTATCTGATCACAGACAACAGGCTCAAACACTTAATGTTGGAAATGTTAGAGGTTGTTAAATCACATCATATATCTGCACCAGCATCAGTGTGGTTTTATGATGAAAGTTGAAAATGTGTTGCTTGGATTGCTAGGAAACAGCCCATTTACTACATTTTTAAATTTAACAATAAATCATTTCCAGATGAATGATGATAGTTACTTTTGTACAAATAAAGAATAGTCTACTTAGCTCAGTGAAGACACAAAAAAGATTTGGAAGTATTTTGCCAAATGGAAGTATTTTGTGAATGGCTATATAGGTTTTCAACATGTGCACTGCATTAAGGAATTTTGTTTTAAATCTGCTGCTTGTATTCTCTGACTGCACAAATACAGGTGGTGGATGCTGGAACTATAAACAGCTCTTGCTTCATGCTTGTTTTCACTCAAATTGGTTACTTGGAAGCCATGATCCTGAGACTCAGAAATGGTTTATGGAAAACAAATATTTTTCTTCAAGGAGTGTCGCTGTGGGTGGGTGCTCCACCTTAGGTCTTGCAATGGCGTTACGCCTCTAGACAAAGACTTAGTGGCAGTGCCCTCCGGTGTGCAGTGCATGCAAGGCAGATGGCACGCGCAGTTCAGTTCCTTCTCTACCGCCATCGGCGTCAGTCGGAACCGCAGTTGCTCTCCTTACAGGCAGTCCCCGAGTTACGCGGATCCGACTTATGTCGGATCCGCAGTTACAAACGGGGCTTTTCTCGCCCCGGAGGAGGGGAGCAGCGGGACGCCCAGATGAACCGCGGTCCCGCCGCCCGCATCCTCGGGGGCGAGAAAAGCTGCTCCCCGTCTCCCTGGTCTGCTGGCGACAACTAAGGCTGAATGCCCACATTGCAGTCGTGACAACAGATTGTTGACAGTTACTTACTGACTTTTGGTCAGTGGGTTTAGGGTTCAGGACAGCTAGTGTTGTAACTTCAAAATAACGGTGGGCATGTAAAGCAGGCTTTTCTTCAGGAAGGGTAAGCAATATGTTTTCAAAAGAAATAGTGAAGATGGATACTCCAGGAGTTACCATTTTTACTGGATTTTTAATTCTCTTTTTAGGTGAATCTGAAAACGTGTGACACATATGACTTGAAAACTCTAAAGGGACCTTCAGACTATGTGGCTGTTGCTAACAGCACAGAAGCTCTAGAAAGAATAGAGGCCTGCATGAAAGTATGGATCAAACAAATTGAACAGGTGATGCGCTGCATAGATCTGAAACATTGCTAGCTGTTCTTATGAAATTGTGTGAAACTTCAATTAGTTCTCTTTATGCAAGTGGCATTATGCCCATAACTTGTAGAAAGAAATTGTATTTACTAATGTGGACACATATACAGGCAGTCCCCGGGTTACGTACAAGATAGGGACTGTAGGTTTGTTCTTAAGTTGAATCTGTATGTAAGTCAGAACTGGTGTCCAGATTCAGCCACTGTTGAAACTGATCAGTTTCAGCAGCGGCTGAATCTGGACGCCAGTTCCGACTTACATACAGATTCAACTTAAGAACAAACCTACAGTCCCTATCTTGTACGTAACCCGGGGACTGCCTGTATTCGCGTACTAGTTCAACATAGTTACAGTTAGTTATATAAAGGAAAAGAAATCTTAATTCTATCTATCTATCTATCTAAACAAAGATTTTTCTGTTAAACCACAAATTTTTCATCTAGCAGTCCTACTATCCTTGGGATGCCTGGCTCCCCATGTTACAAACACTGCCTCTCCTGCAGGTTTTCTATCCCCTCTGTCTCTGACAGTCACTCCAAGTGTGTGCGCTGCCTTGATCAGGCACACATTATAGTACAATGTGAGCACTGCAGATAACTCACAGCTTGCACAAGGAAGGCACGGGAGCGCCAGTTGAAACTTCTCTCACCAGAGAACACGGTGAGACCAGCTTCAGATCCGGAGCATTCATGTCCCCCGTGCCGACCATCACCCCAGCCATGTCTGAAAAGTCAACGCTGGCCAGCGTCTCCCTGAGGGACTCTTCCTCTGACCAGAATAGGAAGGTCCCATTCCTCCAGCAAAGGTGACTCTCCCTCAAAAAAATGGGAGCAAGCATCTAAACTGCCCCCTGATACAATGCCTACCAAGGGTTCCCAAGGGTCAAAGGACGTTCATAAGCCTTCAGGCAAGGCGAAGGCAAAATCAGCACCATCAGCACTGCTGGTGTATACGTCGGCAATGAGGAAGGAAAAAATCAAGCTGGCCACAACCGTGGCACCACTGGCACCGAAGAAGGCAAAGCTGCACACGGTACCATCGACACCTATGCTGCCTTTGGCACTGAGGAGCCACAAGCATGCAGTACTGACGCCCTCTCACTCGGTACAGTCAGCGCCGCAGACTGTGGCCATAGTTCCACCCTAGCTTCCCCTGGCGTTGCGTATCCCAGGGCCAGCACCATTCACCATGGAGGAGGTGCTCAGGGTATCCTCAGTGCCCACAACACCACTGTTCGGCACCGACAGCACCCCCGCGTCGCGTAGCTTCCTACGCTCGCTTACTCCACGTTTCGTACCGTCTTTGTCAAGCAACGATGAAGATGACTTGATGGTCACTTCACTGCAGGGAAGCCTCAAAATTAGTCTGAGGCAACTTCCCTAATGTAGACTTGCTATCTCGATTTAGAGCCCCAGGAGGCACCGGGAAGGAATAACTTAGAATGGCCTTGGTGAGGGGCTATTTTGAAATAGCAGCAGTGGAGCGTCTACACACACCTTATTTCGAAATAGGCATTATACCTCGTAGAATGAGGTGTACAGATTTCGGAATAAACCATCTGTTTCGCAATTATTTCAAAATAACAGAATGGCTCTCATTGTTACATTGAAATAACCCTAGTTTCCTTGAAATAATGGTGCGGTGTAGATGCACCCTTGGGCTATGTCTACACGGGTGGGTTCTTGCACAAGAACGGCCATTTTTCTGCAGAGTGTCCACACTGCCCGCCCACTCTTGCACAAGAAGATTGATAGTACGGCGTCAGCAGACAGGGCTTCTTGCGCAAGAGCTACACTCTTTTATAACAAGTATAAGCCCTTTTGCGCAGGAGCTCTTGTGCAAGAAGGCAATGGGGACGCGTGATGGGTTTCTTGCTCAAGAAAGCCCTATGGCTAACATGGCCATCAGAGCTTTCTTGCACAAGAGAGCATCCACACTGCCATGGATGCTCTTGCGCAAAAGCACGTGGACGTGTTCTTGTGCAAGATATTCTTGCACAAGAACCTGCCAGTGTAGATATAGCCTTGGTGCATCTGGGTCTGAGTGCCTTGATAGAACACATCAGAACTTTAGGTAAAGGAGGGGGTGAAAGAAATATTGCTGAAGAAAAAAATAATTTTGAAAGAGGAACAGAAAGATAATTTAATAGAGAAGAGTTCGATAGATGTTTCCAAGCAGAGGGGCTCCATGAAAAAGGGCATGAAAACAAGAGTGACACTGCAAGGGACAGTAAATGGAGAATCTGGAAGAAGAGTAAACGGAAATGAAAGCAGAGGTGTAGGGTGGCTAAGGTTAAGTAGTATCTCAACAGTGGGAATGGGTTTGGCATTGTTGCTGTACAAGACGGCAGGATAGTTAAGGGATTCGAGATGGGGGAGGGGGGGTAAATGGCAAAGGGTTAAGTTAACTGGGCCAGAGCGTTCTGGATGGAAAGGAGATAAGAGGGATCAGAGCTGAAGTAGTCAAAGTGAAAAGTGCACAAGACAACTGACAAAAGCTTTAGGAAATGGGGCAAAGAGAAAATGGAATAAAAAACGACAATGATCTTACATTGAGTATGTTCTGATGTTGGACTTTTATGTTTCTACGGAAACTGAGAAATCAGGTAATAAGGTATCTCAGGTGACATTTATGGCTCCACAGATCATTTACTTTCTAAACTGACCTGTCAAAGTGCTACTCAATGTCCATTCAGAATGCTGCTGCAAAGATCATTTCCCTAGCCCAGTCCTTTGATGATAGCACCCCTCTCTCTGCAGCTCTCCATTGGCTCACTCGTCTCTATTGGGACCGATCTGAGCAGCTTTTCTTCACTTTCCACCCTACATATTGTGTCAGCACTATGTCGAACAGAAGGCTATAAACAAGTAATCCTATTGGAGTCTGGGAGGTGGGTGGGCATTATGCTGCCCACAGCTCAAGGACCCTCTCCCTGCCTATGGGGAGGGCCCACAGGCTATGTCTACACTCGCGGCTTCTTGCGTCAGAAGGCTAAGCACGGAATATCACAGAGCCTCATTTGCATACCTAATGAGCCACCATTTTTGCAGAAGAGGTTCTTGCGCCAGAAGGAGCTGTCTACACTGCCTCTTCTTGCGCAAGAAAACCCCTTTTGTGCAATGCCATTATTCCTGAAAATTATCGGCCATTATCGGCCTCTATCCATTTAAAAAAAAGTTTACTCCATGGCCCAAAGCACGGAATATCACAGAGCCTCATTTGCATACCTAATGAGCCACCATTTTTGCAGAAGAGGTTCTTGCGCCAGAAGGAGCTGTCTACACTGCCTCTTCTTGCGCAAGAAAACCCCTTTTGTGCAATGCCATTATTCCTGAAAATTATCGGCCATTATCGGCCTCTATCCATTTAAAAAAAAGTTTACTCCATGGCCCATTGCAGGAACAAGCAAGTGGGAGGGGACAACTGTGCTGGGGAGGGAGCTCTGGGGGG